ATAAAGTTAGTTAGGTACTAGTTAAGGTTGAATTAAAAAAAAAAATCCTATAGTTACTAATTTTAGTTTTAGGGGATTACTTGTATATAGTTATGCTGAGCGAGCATTATGCCCGGGTCACCCGGGTTTAAACAGTGTGCTCACTGTAAAGAGGCCATGCCTGCATCTGACGGGCACGAAGCTTGTGTTAGGTACTTAGGGGAATCGCATGTGCCACAAAAATGCGCCCATTGCGCAAAATTGACACCGAGGGCACGCAGAGAGAGAGACATGCGGTTAAAACTACTCTTGTGTGATAAGGCTTTACAGCCTTCTGAGGACCAGGTCTCAGAGCCTTTTGCAGGGCAGAAAAAGAGATCAAAATCGCCTGCGGTAATGGTGTCAAAGAAGAAGAGAGCCTCTCCTACGCACTCTCTTCCACCTGCTTCACCGTCCCAGGTTAGTCAGGGACACAAGCCTGGTACGTCCGGTACGGCGAGACAACCAGAAAGATCACACCAGGTGCAGTCGGTAATGCCGGCACCTCCGAGCTGCTCATTATCGGCACCGGCTCTGCACCCCGCAGACGATGCAGTGTTTGAAGGGGATTCCTCTCCTCCGGACGACACAAAAGAATTTCAGGATCTTTTTAGGAGGGTAGCCCAGTCTCAGGACGTCCAGCTATCAGATATTCCGACGAAACAATTCAACCTCTGGAGAAATTTACATCCTAAACAACAATCTAAGGTTGCTCTCCCTATGGATGAGGCAATCCTCCAATCAGCAGCAGAAATTTTGCATACCCCGGCTTCGACTCCTCCAACTTCGAAACCGGTGGAAAAACGTTATTTTGTGTCATCTAAAGACTCAGAATTCCTTTTTACTCACCCGCAGCCAAACTCCTTGGTCGTTGACGCAGCTCTCTAAAGGGCTAAGAACCCACAGCTGAAAAATGTGGGGGCCGATAAGGAGGCAAAGAAATTAGATATATTTGGCCGTAAAGTTTATACATCGGCCACATTGCTCCTTTGCATAGCGAATTACACAGCTCTATTGGCGAATCATAGTTTCGATAGTATCGCAAAGCTTACAGAGCTGGCCCAAAGATCATCGGACGCTGATAAAGAGCTGTAACGGTCGATCCTCAAGGAAGGCTATGCATGTTCAAAGGCTAATCTTCAGATAGCTATGGATATAGCGGACACAGCGGCTCGAGGAGTGGCAACAGCAGTGTCTATGAGACGCTCATCCTGGCTCGCCACAGCGGCAGTGCCCAAAGAGCTACACTCCAAGGTAGAAGACCTTCCGTTTGACAGGGTAAAATTATTTGCGGAAAAGACAGATGAGGTACTTGATACCGGCAAAGATTCAAGAACAACACTTCGCACGCTGGGGATGTATGTACCACCATTCCGCCGCCGTCGTTATTTCCCGTACCAAAGACGGTATGATTATCAGCCTCGGAGGCAGCAAAATCGCCCGTTCGACCAGTCCCGACCTAGACAACGGCCTCAGCGAAGGCGTCCACCACCATCTAGAGTAGTGGGCACGCCCGCCTCAAAACAGCAAGTTTGACTCCCTTGTCGGGGGCAAGCGGATGCTACCAATCGTTGTTGTACACACAAAACCCATTTTCCACCATCGCTTACGACCTTACTATCACCAATGGGTCAAAATAACATCGGACAAATGGGTACTGGAAGTCATAAATATCGGCTTCACCATTCCTTTCACTTTCATCTCTCCCACCACCCCACCTTCCCCGTCCCTTTTCAGGAACCCATCTCATGAAAACCTCTTGCGACAGGAGGCTCATCGTCTCCTTGCTATCGGGGCGATAGAGAGGGTCCCAGATCAGTTCAAGGGAAGAGGGTTTTATTCCAGATACTTCCTAACGGAAAAGAAAACGGGGCGCTGGAGACCCATTCTCGATCTACGCCGTCTGAATCGTTATCTCCGCAGGCAGCGCTTCAAAATGGTGACCCTGAGTTCCATAATCCCATCCCTCGATCACAACGATTGGTTCGCTGCCCTCAATTTACAAGATGCGTATTTTCACATCGCAATTCATCCCGCTCACAGACGTTTTCTGCGATTTGTGATAGGCCACGATCATTTTCAGTATCAGCTTCTACCATTTGGTCTTGCTTCAGCTCCAAGAGCTTTCTTGAAAACCCTGGCTGTGGTAGCAGCTCATCTGCGTCGGTTACAGGTGATAATATACCCATACCTGGATGACTGCTTAATAAAAGGTTCCACGGAGCGAGAGGCGTCGCAGATGGTGGCGACGGTTGAACAAACATTCGAATCACTCGGTCTCCTCCTGAGCAAGCAAAAATCAACACTTATTCCGATGCAATCCATAAAGTTTATAGGGGTAAACCTCGATTCGCTCACGGCGAAAGCTTACTTACCTCAGGAAAGATTTCAAGCAATCAAAGATCTCATTACCATACTCACCGACAACGTGAGTGTCTCGGTACACAATTGCCTTTGTCTCCTGGGTCATATGGCGGCGGCCACCGTCGTAGTTCCTCATGCGTAGTTCTTCACCTGAGGAACCTCCAACATTGGCTGTCCACGGTTTATGTTCCCATGAGGCACGACATTCACAAGGTAATATGGCTACCTTCACATGTTCAGAGATCTCTGCGGTGGTGGACGAAGGCACAAAACCTTCTCTCAGGAGTTCCATTCCACCGACAACAACCATCGGTACAGATAAAATCAGATGCCTCACTCATCGGCTGGGGTGCCCACATGGACAACGAACGAATCCAGGGCAAATGGTCTCTCAGCGAGAGGCGTCTGCACATCAATCGGTTGGAACTCCGAGCAATCTTCTATGCATGCAAACATTTTCTCCCGCATATCAAAGGTCTTACAGTAAGGATACTGATGGACAATGTAGCAGCGATGTATTACGTGAACAGACAGGGAGGAGCACGATCACGCTCCCTATGCGCCGAAGTGGTGCGGTGTTGGAACTGGTGCATACAGAACAGCGTAACCATAACAGCATCATACTTACCTGGCACCGCCAATGAAATTGCGGATTCCCTCAGCAGACAATTTCCCACGGAGATGTACTTCGTGCGATATTTCGCAGATGGGGTATTCCCCTTGTATACCTATTCGCAACGTCCAACAACAGGAGGGGCTGCGGGGTTTGTAAAAACAAATATAACCCGCGGGTTATATTCACTAAAATATGTTAGGTCCATTAATGGCTATTAGCCAGGATGGGTAGGAATGGTGTCCCTGGCCTCAGTTTCTTTGGAGGTGGGTGACGGGGGAGAGCTCACATGAGGATTGCCTGTTGTGATCCCTTCCTCTGGGGCATCTGGTATTGGCCACAGTCAGCAGACAGGACACTGGGCTGGATGGACCTTTGGTCTGACCCAGTGTGGCCGTTCTTATGTTCTTAACTGCTTTTTCAACTGTTACACCCCAGACTTCAGGCATTGCATCTGACGGCGTGGCTCCTCAGTGGTTAAAAGGGGACGAAAACCTGTGCTCTGAACAGGTCAAGGCAATACTTCTACACAGTAGGAAAGAGTCTACATGGAACACTTACCTCGCAAAGTGGCAGAGATTTTCTAACTGGTGCCTCCAGAACGACATACAGCCTCTCTCATCTCCTCTACAGCACGTTTTGGATTACATCCTTCAGCTACGGAATTCGGGACTTGCACTTTCATCCTTAAAGGTGCACTTGGAAGCTATCAGGGCCTTCCACCATCCAGTAGAAGGTTCCTCGCTCTTCTCTCATGTAATTACAAAGAGGTTCTTAAAGGGGCTTGTGAATTTAAACCCACCACGAAGGGCGCTTTCCCCTTCTTGGAATCTCGATTTAGTGTTGGATACCATTATGTACCCCCCCCTTTGAGCCTTTGGCGTCGGTCTCTTTACATATGCTAACCATGAAAACGGTCTTTCTACTTGCAATTACATCAGCAAGAAGGGTGGGTGAACTGGGGGCGTTGATGGCAAGGCCTCCTTTTACGGATTTTTCCAAAGACACAGTAACGCTACAATTACATCCGGACTTTATTCCCAAAGTCTGTTCTTCCTTTCACATTAACGAGCCTATTGTTCTCTCAGCTTTTTATCTCAAGCCTCATTCCTCAAGTAAGGATGCTCTGTTCCACACCCTCGATGTCCGACGTGCGCTTTCTTTCTATATAGACAAAACACGCCAATGGCGGTGCACGGACAGGCTGTTCGTATCTTCGGCACAGAGATCAAAGGGCAAAGCACTTTCCACTCAGCGCATTGCAAAACTAATTACTCTTTGTATTACAAATTGCCATTCGATTCGGAACAAACCTCTTCCTTCTTTACCTCGGGCTCACTCTACGTGAGCAATAGCGACTTCCACTGCCTTTGCAAGGGGAGTTCCCCTTGCAGATATCTGCCGCGCGGCTACCTGGGCCTCTAGTGTAACTTTTGCGTGTCATTATGCCATAACTAGGAGGTGGGCTTCAGATGCCATGGTGGCCTCTGCGGTTCTATCCACGGTAGAAAATAACTGACGCGGAGCGCATTTGTAGAAAATAACTGACCCGGAGCACATTCTGGGTTACTGCTTTGTACTCACCTTGAGTGGAGCACCCACGGGGACCACTCGAAGAAGAAGAAGAGGTTACTCACCCTGTGTAGTAACGATGGTTCTTCGAGATGTGTCCCCGTGGGTGCTCCATGCCCCACCCTCTTCCCCGCTCCGGGTCTTTCTGCTTTGTTTTTCAGGGACTGAGCGGTGAGAGGAACTGACGAGGGGGGGGCCGGACCGTTGCAAAGGCGCGAACGCTGCACGCTGTGCTCGCGCATGCGCGGTCCGGCCCGGCTACGGCTCTGGAAATCTCCGACCAGCGGTGCCGGGCCGGGACACCCACGGGGACCACTCGAAGAAGAACGTCTCAGGGGTCAGCCCGAACTCGTGCAGCAGGGCCTCCTTGGCTGAGTGTTTTCAGGAATCACAGTTCATTCTGGGGGTTAAGTTCTAGCAGCTCAGGATGAAGATGGAAATATCTATGTAAGATTGGGGACAGGAACTGATAACTATATTCAATATACCCTTCTCCCCCCTTTAGTATTATCAAAAGCAAGAAGACAAGTCATTGGAAGGATGAAATTTAATTTATTATTGTGTAGATTAAATTAAATCACACAGTAGAGAGGTTGATGGCAATAGTGTATATAAATGGCATTTTCCCTCTAGAACTGGTCCTAGGAATGGAGGAGCATCATTATTATTTGCTAACAACACAGGAATTGCAAATGGAGCCTCTTTAATAGTCATCATTAAATGGATACTCAGGATGGTCCAAAAAGCTAAAAAACAAAATGCAGACGGCAGCTGTTTAATTTCCATGAACTATCCTCATGCAACTCCATGCAGTTAAGATATGGCTGCCACATTTGTATTGTGCAAATTGAGCAGCAATATTTGTGATAATCATCAAAGATTGTTTAATGTGGTATAAGAGGATATAGCCAGAATTAATAGGATGCAATTGAAATGGGCCTGAGCATTAGGAAAAGCTTCCTGCCAGGGAGATCTTGTAGGCTTCCAAAGCAATTACTATAAGTCACTTCAAGAACTTTCTAGTCTGTGCTGTCTAGGGAGCAAAGAACTGATGGTGAGTCTTAAGTCCCAAATTGCCACTGCCTGCAGGAGCTGCAGGAAAGTATCAAACCTGATTGTGCTGTGAGACTAACACCATCTGTCTTTTACCAGGCTCTGTTGCCCATAGTTGGCTTCAACACTCTTAAGACCGAAGTACTACAACTCACTGTGCACATAGGTCATAGCGAAGGTTCTGGTTCAGGCTATCAATGGCTTTCATGTCCTCCTCTGTCAAATGGAAGTCAAACACCTGGAAGAGAAAATAAAAAGCTTCATAGAGCAAGAAGGGATTTTGTTTATTCTAACATGCTAGTCATTCAGGGTATCTCTACACTAGCCCCCTAGTTCGAACTAGGGAGGCTAATGTAGGCATTCAAAGTTGCAAATCAAGCCCGGGATTTAAATATCTCGTGCTTGATTTGCATCTTCCCGGCCAGTTGCCATTTTTGAAATGTATAAGTCTGGACTAACTGCCCACGTCTACACGTGGCAGTGACCCGGTAGTTCAAATTATAGCCCCTAGTTCGAACTGCCTGTTAACCTCATCCCAGGAGGAATAACAGGTAGTTCGAACTAGGGCTTTATTTCGAACTACCGGGTCCCTGCTGCATGTAGACGTGGGCAGTTAGTCCAGACTTATACATTTCAAAAATGGCAACTGGCCGGGAAGATGCAAATCAAGCACGAGATATTTAAATCCCGGGCTTGATTTGCAACTTCGAATGCCTACATTAGCCTCCCTTGTTCGATCTAGTAGGCTCGTGTAGACATACCCTCAGGGTGTCAGTCCCAGAATTAATAACACCTACGTCTTACATAGCACTTTTCATCAGTAGATTATAAAGCATGACCCCATCTTTATCGTGCTGATACTCACAACCCCTCTGGGAGGTAGGGAAGCATCTGTATCATCATCCCCACTCCAACAGAGAGAAGGAAAAAATTGACTTGCTCAAGGTCACACAAGAAGTCCATGGCACAATAGGGAATGGAACCTGGGACTCCTACAGTTTAGGCCTATGCCCCAGCCTACTGGACAAACCTTCCTCTCCCAAATACAGCCTAGGAGAGGATGATTTCAATCCACTACCCTCTGGATTATGGGCTCAGCACACTATTGCTATGAAGAACCTTTGCCTGTGCATTCAGGGCCAGATATTAAACTCCGCCCCCAATCATTGCTTGCTGAGGGGTATGTGAATTTTGCCCATGCAAGGGTTAACAACTGAACAGAAACTGAGAGAAGACCTCAGATTTCGGCTCTAGATTAGCAGACAAATGCTGAACCAAGCCTCCGTGCATGAATTAACGTGTATCCAGTGGTTCCTGAGTTGTTTATTGCTTTACTGGGTAATGAGAAACATTACAGGGTAATACTTACTTATTGCTTCACAGGGTAATACAGGCAGTCCCCGGGTTACGTACAAGATAGGGACTATAGGTTTGTTCTTAAGTTGAATTTGTACGTAACTCGGAACTGGCTCCAGATTCAGCCGCTGCTGCTGAAACTGACCAGGGGCTAACTACAGGAAGCCCGAGGCAGAGTTGCTCTGCCCCCAGCTTCCTGGAATCAGCCACTGATCAGTTTCAACAGCGGCTGAATCTGGAGCCTGGGACAGAACAGCTGGGGCGCTGCTGGGTAGGTCCCCCCAGGACCAACCCGGCAGCACCCCCGCCGCTCTACCCCAGGCGTCCACAACAAAAGCCTGGTCTGCTGGGGGGGGAGAGCGCACTAGCTGCGCCCCCGCTCCCCAGCAGACCAGGGAGACCCGGAGCAAAGCCGCAGAGGCGGCGGGGGCCCGGGCCACCCCAGCAGACCAGGGACACCCCGAGCAGACTAGGGACACCCGGAGCAAAGCCGCAGAGGCGGCGGGGGCCCGGGCCACCCCAGCAGACCAGGGACACCCCGAGCAGACTAGGGACACCCGGAGCAAAGCCGCAGAGGCGGCGGGGGCCCGGGCCACCCCAGCAGACCAGGGACACCCCGAGCAGACTAGGGACACCCGGAGCAAAGCCGCAGAGGCGGCGGGGGCCCGGGCCACCCCAGCAGACCAGGGACACCTGGAGCAGCTTTTCTCGCCCCGGAGGACGCGGTGGTGGGACCACTGCGCGTCTGGGTGGTCCCGCCTCTCGCGAGTTCCGGGGCGAGAAAAGCCCCGTTCATAAGTGCGGATCCGACATAAGTCGGATCCACATAACTCGGGGACTGCCTGTACTTTAGACTCTGTCCATTTCAGCTCTCTCTAAAATGTCCCTTTATAACTACATAGCCTTTATATGAGTAGCACCTGATGACCTTAACCAACCCAGGCTTGCATTATGAGAGGGACTATACAAACACAGGGCAAATGGCAGTCTCTGTCCTAAGGAGTGTGGCTACTTGCAAGTGGACGGTGCAAGGCAGGCCTCATGACAGCCCTTGAGGGGACAATGGTATTTGTGAGGGTTTTAATGGCATTCCTCCGCTCCGTGGCTTTACCTTGATGTTGTCTTCAATATGCTTTCTGGTGAAGCTCTTGGCAAGAACCACCACACCACGCTGCAGCTGGTAGCGCAAGGCTACTAGCACTGGGCTTTGGTTGTATTTTTTGGCCAGCTTGTTCAGGACTGGATCCTCCAACAGAACTGGCGTGCTTTGAACTACCCTGCAAGGGCACACAGACATGGAGTGAGCATTTCTGATTTCAGGATCAGTGAGAGCTGAGTCTGAGGGAGACAATATTTATTTATTTACTTATTATAAAATATTTGTACCCTACCTCTGTATTTAAAATATTCGAGGCGGCTTACGACATTTTTTAAACACAATATATATATATATATATATATATACACAAATTAAAATATGGGACGATACTCATTTATCCCCAGGGATTCAGGAGATATATTGGGCCTGATTCTCCACTGACTATTTCATTGTGTGAGCATTTGTATCTGTGCCAAATGAGTGCCAAACACTGCCATGCTGATTTCACAGCATGCAATGCCAACTTTCCACCCACTTCTTTCCTTTGTGCTACAGTCAGCTTTTTTCCTCACCATTTCTCCTCCCTGTGAGATCCCAAGGCACTAAATGCCACCAGAACAATATTTTTGGATTTGCAGAACTCCAGCAATTTCCCTTGGTTTAGGTAAGGGTGACATTCAACCTGAAACATTAGGAAAAAAAAATGGAGATTTCAGATTGTACCGAGACAGTCACATGACTCCCCCCAATTGTACCTATTATCATCTGCTGCATTTATCTAAGTATTTATAATATGCCTGTCATCAGGTGTTTTTCTACTGTAAGAAGCGAAATTATGTTAAAATAACAGACAACTTCCTTTGAAATAAAATCAAATCCTGTAAGTAACTTTGCAAACTTTAAATATTAATGTTACAAGGACATACTGTGCTCCTTACCTAAAGGCCAAGCTATAAAATCTATATGGGCCAGAAGCAGCATGCCCTCTGATTTTTCCTGCCCTTGGGCTGAATGAATTTTGTTATGTGCACCAGTATGGAGATGATGTGTGTCACGGAGGTGATGCGTGACACATCACCTTCATATTGGTGCACGTAACAAAATTCATATGCTGGGAGTGGGATCAAAGGGTTCCTAGTGTGGGAGATGGCCCAGGCCTGTGGAGGAGGGTTGGGTTGCAAGGCTGTGAGGGCTCTGGATGGGGGTATGGGCTCTGAGGTAGGTCAGGGGATAGAGGGGCTTAGGGCTGGGACAGGGTTGGGGTTCAAGTGCTCTGGTTGGGGGTGCAGGCTCTGGGTTGGAACAGGGATGAGGGGCCCAGGGCCGGACAGAAAGTGGCATGCAGGGATGTGAGGGCTGTGGCTGGAGGTATAGGCTATGGGGTGGGGCCAGGTTCAGGAAAGGTTTGGGACAAAGGAGGGTGATCCAGGGCTACTGCAAGGAGAGGGGACTCCCCTCGTCTCTCTCTTCTTGCAGCAGCACTTGGGTTGTGTGGTGGGGAATGGCACCTCTTCCTGCACTGGCAGCTTTGGGGCTGGGTCGCTATAGCTGTGGCAGAATTGAGGCAAGACTGCTGTGGCCATGGAAGGAGTGGGGTCAGGCTGCAATGGCTGCCACAGCTTTGGCAGGATCTGGCCAGGCTGGGGCTGGGCTGTCACGGCAGAATCAAGGCCAGGCCACCATGGCAGGGGGGCAGGGGCTGGATTGGGTATGGACCACCCCCAGTCACACAAGTTAGGGTCAGGTCACCTGTGACAGGGCCAGGGCCAGAGCCAAGCTGCCCTGCCCATGGCTGGGTCTGGGCTGGGGCCTGGTGGCCCAGGCTGCAGCAAGTTTAAGAGCAGCTGGGTTGGGACCAGGGGTGAGGTAGCCCTTCCCACAGTTGCTTACTGCAGCAAGTTTAAGGGCAGACTAGGTTGGGACCAGGTGTGAGGTAGCCCTTCCCACAGTTGCTTACACTTCCCTGCCCTACATGGTTTCCTGGAGCACCTGCATGGCATTAAATAGGAACTGTGCAGACACTCGGCTGCATAGGTTACAGGGAGCTTAGACTAGAAGGGTAAAAACTCAAATACTTCTACCCACGTATCATCATCATCATCTCGACCCTACATATTCAAAATGGCCTTCAGTGCTGTTTCTGTAGTTAATGGCAGACACATATATTGGTGCCTGTAACTGCATGGATTGAGAAATCTAAATACTTGAGTGCACCTGCAAATCAGATTGGTATTTTAAAGGGCACCGTTGCAGGAGAAAAGAAATGTGCCTGCAGTTAATGCTGCTGAAATAAAATTGTGCACTTAATATTGGAAGTCGAATCAAGGGTTGGCTAAAAACAAGACCATAAATATTTTCCAGGCAAAAGCCCCTGAGGCAGCAATACATTTTCTTATGCTTTGCCTTAAAATACATTCTTCTTTTTATGGAATTCCATTACTATCTGAACCCATGTTTCCAAGAGAAAGGAGAAGCAAAGCAAAGTGCAGCAGGACCCAGCTTTGCCCGCCCTTTGTTTGGGCTGCCATCTAACCCTTCTCTCTCCCAGGTTCTGCCTCATGATCCTTCTTTTCCAGGTCTCTTCATGGTATCGCAGTGAGCCCTTCTGGGTCTTTATTTTAACCTAAGGTCAGAATGTTACCTGGTTGCAAACAGGTTTGTACTTGAGCCCGGGTTTGTTCAGGATCATTTCCAGCTGTCTGCGGTTGAAGTTGGACACCCCAATTGACTTCACCAAGCCTGCATCTTTACATGCCTCCATGGCCTAAGGAAATAAAATATGACCAGGTCCATTACTGTTGCTGGTGCCTGTAGCAGGGGTGACTGCATAATGCAGCTTGCAGAACCGGCACTTACTAGCCCAGACTAGAGACTGCTTTGGTTTTTGTTGTCATTGTGTTACTTCCCTACAGAGATCTGTTAATCGATATTGCCAACCCCACGTGTTCAAAAAGCACAAAACAGGCCCTAAAATATTATGAAGACTTTTTATAAAGAAGGGTCTCTTTTTATTTGTTTTTTGAAACGTTAGGATTTACTTCAGTCATGTTGAGAAGCTTCTCTCCAAAACGATGGGGAAGTCTGGAACGTTACTTGTTTTGTTTACCTCATTGTATGAGGACTAAGCCTAGTTCGAACTTACTAGTTCAAATTATTAGGATTTACTTCAGTCATGTTGAGAAGCTTCTCTCCAAAACGATGGGGAAGTCTGGAACGTTACTTGTTTTGTTTACCTCATTGTATGAGGACTAAGCCTAGTTCGAACTTACTAGTTCAAATTATGGGCTGTGTATCCCCTTAATTTGAACTTGTGGGAGGCTAGCCCTCCCCAGCTTTCCCTGGTGGCCACTCTGGCCAACACCAGGGAAACTC